CTGTGGGGTGACATTCCTGCACCACAGGCCATCACCTTGATCCTCAGGGCTGACCTGGCTGAATCCTCTTCCTCTAACTCTTCCTCAATTCCACTCCAAGCCATCTGCCCCTGGCCTCAGACTCACTGTGGCCATCATAAACTGACTTTTTCTAAGAGAATATATACAGTCATTTTAAAGCACACAGCAGAGTCTTTTTTTTTTAATTTTATCTATTTATTTATTTATTTTTTTATTTGTGTGTGTGTGTGTGTGTGGCCAGCTCAGCCCACCAGGGGGCGGGGCTGGCTGGCATGTGGTGCTGGGGGATTGAACCGTGGTCCCCGTGCTTTCCTAAGCTTGTTCTAAGTAGGTGCTTTAGACCACTGAGCCATCTCACTAGCCCTGTAGAGTCTTTCTTAAAAGACAAGTAATTAGCGAAGCAATTGAGATTTATGAAAACCTGGGAATGGCACTGTGAATGGGAATGAAGAACTGATGTATTCATCCCTGTATCTCTCTCTCTCTGTCTCTCTCTGTCTCTCTCTCTCTCTCTCTCTCTCTCTCTCTCTGTCTCTCTCTCTGTCTCTCTCACCTTCTCTTCTCACTTTCAGATTTCTCCTTCAAATATGCTCTGTGATTTTTTGCTTGGACTTTTCTACTTTTCTGTCACTTGACCTTCATCCCAGGTCATCTCCTCCTCCTCCTTCTGGACATCTTTCTGAAATCTCCTCACTTTTCCAATCTGCCAACAGATGCCTTTATAGGCTCTTCCCCACTCATGCACTGATCATAGCTACATCTTGTGCACCTCGGTCCACCCTCATTTAATAAGGACAGATTTCAGTTGATGGAGGATGCACTTTACCTGCCTTACCACACGTCCTAAGGGCAGGGACCACGTCTCCTAAACACTTATTCCTACCTATCTTCCCCTTGAAGGCTGAAGGACCTATGGACTATTCAAGAGGATGAGCAATTACTGAAAAGAAAAGAGACAGAGGACAAGCAAAAGGAGAGATGACAAAAAAAGAAAGAGGAAAGGAACAGAAGGGTTGGGCTAAGGTCTACCCTTCCTCTGATTTTCCCTGCGTCAGGAATGGCTATTGTGCTTACACTACAGGAGGAGGTGGAAAGGGTGGAGACAGATGTGTGGGAGGTACCTGCACAAGGAAGATGTGGATGGCAACATCGAGGTGGGATCCAGTAGTAGCCAAATGGAGCAAACGAAGCCAAACCAATGCACTTACAAAACTACCTCCACCCTCTGGATCTCTAAAAAGAGGGAATAAGATCTAGTGGAGAGTTCTTAGGAAGTCGGGGAGGGAGGAAAGAAATGTCTAAGAAGTGAACTATTTCCTGGCAGAGTCCATTCCAAATGCTGTTTCCCTTACCCCTGTTCTAGAACCATTAGGCTGAGCTCTCCATCACCGGCATGAAGGCTGAGTGGAGCAGTGCTTAGGGACCCTCATCATCTGCTTAGAGCAGGGAGTGACAATGCCTCACAAGCTCTGTCAGCCAGACCTCAAGCCATGTCTCTTACCATGTGAGCATTTCCCAGCACAGAGCCCAGTACCTGCCAGGGAGGAAGGGCTACTGATCGAGAAGGATAAGAATGCCTTTGTCTGGCATTTCAGAGGTGTGAGCCAAGCCAGCCCAATGCTCTTCTCACTTTGCCCAATCAGTGATGAGTAACTCAGCCCTGAACAGAGGCTGACTGGGACACTGTGCCTGGCCCACTACCAGGTGCACTAGAGCAGCAGGGTATATGAAGGGCGGGCCCCTGCTCCTGCATTGCTTAACATCCAGATGAGTGCAGACAGCGATAAAGATGGCGAAGACAACACGTACATCTGAGGAAAGAGCTAGTGAGAGCCTCTGAGGGAAACTATTTGAAGCCTAAGTGATAGAGAGTTTCTCTCGGGGTTGGGATGCAGCTCACTGGTGAAGTGCTTGCTTAGTAGCATCATGCAAGGCCCCAGCTTCAGTCACAAAGCAAAAATAATTGCAAAGACAACAAAATGCTCTCTGAATATGTTGTCTTTGGGCTGTAACTTAAACAGAAGATGGCGAGAGCATTGAAAAGCTTGGCAGAAGAGGGCCCCCAGCTGAAGGAACAGTGCACGCCAAGGTGTGCAGCGAGGTTGGCCCTGGCATGCTTAAGGATGGGTGCTGCAAGGCTCCACAGCTTGAACCGAAGGAATGAAATGCAAGGAGCAGGTCCACTGCCAGCCACCGTCACACAGGACAGCGCGTGGCTAGGCCTGGGACCTCCCCGAGGGTCATTTTGATGGGCTTGAGGTGTCATCTAGGCACCAGAAGTTTAAAGTTTTCCAGATGGTTCCAACATACAACCAATGTTGCGAACCTTGACGACCACGCAGGACACTTGGATTGGTGACAGTAAATGTAAGGCCCCTTCAGGATACAGGCATCTCCCAGGACCCTAGGCCCAGGACCAAAAAGAACTCATTTTCTAAGAGTCTTTGAAGGTGGGATTAGTAAAGAGAACCAGGAAGAAGGCCAAGAAAGGTAATGAAATCAAGAAAACAGGACCAAAATGAAGGCATAAAAACAGACAGGACAGAAAAAGGCAGAGGGACAGAGACCAGGGCAAAGGGGTAAACGTGTTCATTATCTTCCTGCTGCTGCTGTAATAAACTCCGACAAACTTAGTGGCTTGAAACAGTACACACTTGCTCCTGACTGCCCTGTATTCCACACATCTAGAAAGGGCACTGCTGGGACAAAATCTCAGTGTTGGCAGGCTTAAGGATGGGTTGCCTTCCTGGTGCTCTGATGGAGAGGCCTTCCCTTGGCGTTTGCACCTTCTAGAGATCATCCACATGCAGCTCACAGCTCCATCCGCAGCCTTCAAAGCCAGCAATGTCAAGCCAAGTCCTGCTCACACTTCTGTCTCTGGCTTCTCTTCCACCTACCTTCCACTTTTAAGTACCCATGTGATTACAGTGGACCCTTTTGGATATCTGGGACAGTCTCCCGATTACAATAAGTCCATGTGCAAATTCCTCTTTGCCAAGTAAGGTAACATATCCAGTTTACAGGAGTAAGGATGGTAGCATTTTTTGAAAGTTTATGTAGGGGGCCTAGGGGAGCGCAGCTGCTTATGTACCCTTGACGGAGGAACACCCTCCCTGTGGGGTTGTGGTCCTCAGCTCCAGGGAGGAGCGGTGAGGGAGGAAGGGGACACCTGCCCTCAAGCCAGGTCCACTAAGTTAACACTAGCGGTCAGCAGGGTTACAGACATCACCGCCAGATCACCCTCACGTCAAGGACTAGCATTTCTGAAGGGACATTATTCTACCGACCATAACACAGAGGCTCACCTTTTATAAAAACAGATGCTGGGCTGGTGAGATGGCTCAGTGGTCTAAAGCACCTACTTAGAACAAGCTAAGCAAAGCACAGAGACCGGGGTTCAATCCCCCAGCACCACATGCCAGCCAGCCCCGCCCCCTGGTGGGCTGAGCTGGCCACATACACACAAAATAAATAAATAAATAAATAAATAAATAAATAAATAAAATTAAAAAAACAGATGCTGATCATATCTGCAGTCATTTGCTTGTGTTTTATCTTTGTATTCTATAAACAGTGAGCTGAGAGATTTATGCTAAAACAAATGTGTATGTGTATGTTTGTGCAGGTTTGTTTATCACAGCGTCACACTTGAGTATCTCTCTGACAGGTAATGAGGAGGAAGAAGGGTGCCACAAGGAGTGTCTAATAAAGCGTTGCTGCTCCATAAAGACTCACTGCTGTTGTTTGCTTGTTATTATTGACAATAAAACTAATGACAGTATCTCTTTGCACAATACAACACTGGGTGTCCACTCTCATGAGTCTCAGTGTATAAGAGCCTTTTCCAATGTGTCTGGGTGTCTGCCTTCCGGAAACGCATCTTTCTCTGAGTCTTTGTCAATTTGGATGCTGATGAACACAAGTGGTACAATCGTGTGTATGATCACAGTTGTATACGCCTAGGTTCTTACTTTTTCTTTTTTGTACTTACTTACCATCCTTCGAGGACACATAACCAGACAGAAAGGCCTGACATGTGAAAGGCAGAGGAGCCCGGAAGAGAAAGGAGCACACAGCAAAAGAAGAGAGGAAACAGAGGGGGAAAACTAGAGGATGGAGGTCAGGGAAGAGGGTACGAAGAAAAATCAGGAAAGAGGGCCAGTGACATAGCTCACTAGCCTAAAGTGCCTACTTAGGCAGGAACCACAGTTCCATCCCCAGCACCACATGCTGCACCAGCCCCACCCTCGGGGTGGGCTGAGCCGGCCAAAATTTTTTTTAAAAAATTAAAAAAAGAAAAAGAAAAATCACGAAAGAGGAGGGAGCTCTAGGGATCTATAATAAAACATATATATTTTTTAAAAGGCAGGGTTAAAGTTGAGTGTGCTGGTGTACGTAATCCCAGCACTAGGGATGCTGAGGTAGGAGGCTCACCAGCCTGGACTACATAGCCAGAGCCTGTCTCAAAAAAAGGGAAAGAATAAAAGAAAGAAAGAAAAGCAAAAGAGGCAGGGTTGGGTCACCACGAGGGTCCATTCTGGTCATTCCTTCGCTAATGTTTAACCTGGAGAGTTCAGCTCTCCCGTTCTCAATGAATTAAGATAGCTTGAGTAAGTAATGCTGGGGTTCATTTCACAGAAAGAGGGGAAAAGACAAACGGAAGTAAAAACACATAGAGGGAAACCGAGAAAGAACCAAAGAGAGGGCTAGGAAGACGAAAGGAGGGAGGCCCTGGGAGGTCAGGTAGAGCTGAGAGAGCCCCTCCTGCATCCCTGTGGGAGTGTGGGCGCGACTCCCACCCCTTCCGCAACAGTTCAGCCCTTAATAGGTAAGACAGGAAGATGAACAGGAGAGAGGCGACAGCCGGAGTGACAGCACACACAAAGCAGCACTCAGAGCTGCCAAAGCCGCGCACACCCGGATCGGATGTTAGGTGTGCCAGGCACACGGGCTGACTCACACCTTGGCGATGTGGGCACACTTGCCAAGAGCGAGCCCGGGCGCCCTGCCCGCCCAGCTCCACGGAGTGGGGGTGGGGTGAGACTAAGGCCGCGGGCGGGCAGGGGTCTTCTGAGCACCCGACCACCCTCCCCAGAGCGCCCTGGAGACTCCGGTCGGCTCAGGACCCGGGAGCCTCGCGGGCCCCACCCTTCCCCAGTCCTCACTGGGGAAGCGGGAGAACCAGATGGGCATTACGCAAGGGCTGATGTTTACCTCCCGCGGGAGCCTCCTCCCCTTATAAAGCCTGCGTGGAGGCGAGCGCGCCTGGGAGTGACTCCGGGCGGCGGACAGCAGGCGGAGGAGCGAGGGGCGTGGATGCGAGCGCCCGGGCGCCGGCCGCCGGGTCCGGCAGCAGCAGGGGCGCTGCGCGCTCGCAGGCGGCCGCGGGGCTCGCGCAGGGCCTGGCGCCTCGAGCCCGGCTTCCCATGGAGGCGGCCGAGCTGGGCCCGGGGCTGGTGGAGCGTCTGGAGCAGCTGGCGACGTGTCCGCTGTGCGGCGGCCCCTTCGAGGACCCTGTGCTCCTG